CGGCGGAGACCCCGGCGCCGGTGAGTGACGGGGCGCGTGGCCCGGGGGCCCGGGACAGCGAGGGCGGGGGGCTCCGCCCTGGCCTGCTCTGGGCCCCGGACCCCTCCCCGGAACGTCAGTGCTTCTTCAATCGGGCCCTTGCCCGAGGACCCCCAATCCCTACTCCCTGCCAGACCCCTCCAGCCATCTCTCTCATGAACGCCCCCAGGGAGGACGGCGGCCGAAGCGCCTTCATTTGGGGCGATCCCTGAAACTGCTGCCATGCCCCCCCAAAGCGCTCTCCTGGGATCCCTCCCACACACCCGCGTCGTTGCATCCTCCAGGACAGCCCCCACATGCCGCCCCGCGTCGGGCCGGTGCTCGCGGACCCGTTAGTGTCCCCTGTAGGATTGCCTCCGGAGAGGGGCGCGTTCGTGCCTGCAGCAGACCTGCCCCCACCCCGTTATCTGTCACACAAAGCCGCCCCCCGGGCTCCGAGCCCGTCCCCCGAGCCCCTGTCGTCGACGACGTCGGCATCGGCACAAAAATACTTTCTATTCTGGTCGCGCCAAGAATGCCTTTTTTCCCCTCTGCCGACCTTCGGTGATTCCCTGTAAGAGTCGCCGAGCTGGCGCCCACCCTGCCGCGGCACAGCTCCCTCTGCAGTCAGCCCTCACACCCCAGCAGGTGGGAACAGCTCCCCCGGCTCCAGCGCCCAGAATACCCCTGCCTGGCCTCACCCACCCCAACCGTGGCCACCACGCAGTGCCCCAAGCCCCACAGAGAGGCCACCGCTTTCCCTCAGGATGTCCCTCTTCCCTGCCACTAGCCACTGTTGTCGCTACCGGCATGTCATCGCCATCTCTCATGTCACCGGCCGGGACCCCCGAGAAGACTTCTACCTTCACCAGGGCACGATGGCCTTTTCCCTGCCTTGCCTCGTCTCTGAATGAAAACTTAGGACCGAGCCAGGCAGTAGGACTGTGCAGGGGCGATGCTCAACCTCCACTCGGGCTCTGCAGGCGAGTGGAGGAGACGGCAGAGACAGGCAGACAAACAAGATAAATGCTACCTGTGGGGTTCTCACAGCCCGGGAGCGACTTCTGGGGCGACACTTGAGTTACATGAGGCCACTTAGCCACGCAAGATCTGGGTGAGCAGGCGGAGGAAGCACGCGCCAGGCCCACGCTGGCTCTGACAGGAGGGAGGAGCAGCGGGGAAGCTGGGGTGTGGAGGGGGGGGAGAAGGGCAGGGGCAGGCTGGTTGGGAAGGGCCTGGGAGGTGAGGGGGAAAGTATCTGGCCTCTTCTGCGGTACCAAGCCCAGGGTGTTCTACGTCATAAAGACACCTGTTCTATACCTGTTAAGTGAGCTCCTCCTTGACCCTGGGATGCAGCAGAGACCCAAACGCCAACCCCTGGGCGTGCAGTGGGTTTGCTAGTTGAAGAGGCCGCCTGTGAAGCCAAATGCAGTGGGATAGAGGGGCAGGTGGGCCGCAGTCTCAGGGCTGTCTGTCCCTAGTCATTTCATCCCTCCATAAAGCCACACCCCATGAAGTTGTACCTGGGTGCAGATCCCCCCACCTGGACAGGTGTGGGCCACAGGGGCTGCTCATGCCAGCTCGCCGCCCAGGGTGAAGTGACAGGAGGATGAGCCCTGGGTCGGGCCATGGCTCCCGTCTCTGAGCACCCCACCCCCGGCCTCACTTGTTCCCTTCCTCACACTCGTCTGGGAAGTCGGCTCTGCCACAGCCGGGGCTGGAGCAGTGGCAAAGCAGAGGCAAGTCCTTGCCCCGTGGAGCCAGCCCTTGGAGGGACAGGGGCCCGAAATGAGCGTGGGGTGCGGGCTGTGTTAGACGGTGCTGAGGGGAGCTGGGCATCAGGGGGCCGTGTCTCCGAGGGCCTCGCTGAGGAGAGGACTGCCACACAGAGATGGGAGGCGGTGTGGGGGGCTAGGGAGGTCTGGGGTCAGAGCAGCAGCCCAGGCCTTGGGTGGGCGGAGCCGGCATGTGAGAGGGGCCAGGCGTGCAGGCCCCTGTAGAGACGGAGGTGTGCCCGAGCAGGGGAGTCCATGCGGGTCCAGAGCGGAGGGCGGCGGCTCGGCCCTGGGCCTCCTGTCTGTAAGCTGAGGATGGTGAGGACTCCGAGCTGGCCATGAGGTTCCACGTGAGGGACCCAACGTGCACCTGTTAGAGTCGGCACATGGCGGTGGGCGTCCTGGCACTGGGTCAGGTGGAGAGGCTTGGGACGAGGTGCAGGAAGGTGGGTGGGACGAAGCATCCTTCCAGTACCGGGGAGCGTGGAGAATCTTGCCGTTCGGGAAGGGGAGCTGCGGAAGGCCAGCCTGGCGCGACGGGTAAGAGCTCGGCCTCTGGGGTGCCACCTGCCTTTGGCTCCTGGCCCCGCTGCTCAGTGTGCCTTTGGGAGAGGGACTCCTCCTGCCTCAGTCTCTGCATTCCCGCCAATAGCTGTAAGCCTCAGGGGTTTTGTTGGGTCAGCCCATGTAGCGAGTTTAGAAGACGGTGCAGCTGCGGCAGGCCTCTGAGCGTGGCGTCACTGTCACTCTTGTTCATCTCCTCACGAGGCGTTGTTGCAGTGGTGTCACCCACGGGGCCTGGCTGGGAAGACTGGACTCAGACACCCGCTTTCCCTTTACCGGCTGCATGGCCCGGGGGAGTGACTGCCCCCTTGTGCCTCAGTTTCCCCACTTACAAAACAGGACCAGTAACGGTACAGGGCCAGCATGAGGCAGGGTGTCAGCACACCGCCGTATACTGAACGTGAGCTGTGAGGACTGTCCCATCGTACCTCCCTGCATGAAGCCCTCCTGTGATACGTCTCCACTTAGACACACATTGGACCATCCAGCTGGCATGATGATTGAGGCAGCGGGCTCCCACGTGGCCAACTGTGGTTCTAGTCCTAGACCCAGCAGCTTGAAAAACACACCAGGTGCATGTGTGTGCATGCCCAGAATCCCAAGAGGGGAATTGAGAAGGGATTGTGGTGTGACCACCCCCAAACACACACACAGAAGGTGATTTATCTCTCTCTCTTTTTGTCTTTTCTCTAGCAAGTGTACATGTTCTATAGCAAAGTTAAAAAAAAAAAAAGAAAAGAAATTTAAGGCTGAGTCCTCCAAAACACCGAAAGAGGAAATCTCTCTTACTTCCCAGTGGGAATGATCAGGAGCCAGGTCGGCTCTGTCCTACATGAACACACCCCCTCAGCACCTGCATGCCCTGCCTCAGTGCTGTCCTCATCATGTCACTGATCCCCAGATTTCCTCCTGGAGGACACCCC